CCGAATGGTGAAAAAACGGCCAAACCCGCGAAAAAATCGCCAAAAAGGAAAAAATAAGTCAAAAATTTTGCGAAGATATTTATTGTTGGGTTACGGTAGCACTCGTTTGCCGGCTGTGTTTTCGAAAATTCTCCTTGAAATACGGTGGCCTAACTTGTGTGAAAATTCGGCCACAACTCCAATTTTTTGCACAAGAATAATAGCACCTTTCTTACATGGAAATTTTTCCGGATTTTTTCGGTTTTCATGTCCGGCAGGTTAAAAACGTAAAAAACCACTGTCGGCCACTTGAAAAAACTGCTGTCAGGCGCCGTGACCTAGGTTTCTCACTGCGCGGGAGTTCAAATCCTCGTTCCTCCTAGCAACTTTTTTTTCGAAATTTTTTCGCGTTTAACGCCATTTTTCGGAGATTTCGGATTTTTTTCGAATTTTTTTCGCTATAATATTGGGAAAATAGACAACTTTTCGAACATTTTTAATGCAATAAAAATTTTTGGTCGGAGTCCCCCTTTAAAGGAAATACAGCAGAAATGCTTTCGTTAAAAATGCAGCTCCTGTTTTACTAAATGAAGACCATTTTTCCTCTACACACTTCATTATCAAAGTAAACCTTGAAATTTTTCAGGTGTTGCATTTACGACATAACAGTAACCTGTTTAATGACCCCTTATTTCTTTTTCCCATTTTTGGCTGGGTTTCCAGTGGGTTTACTTGCCACTTTTGGAGTTCCAGTACCTGTCCAACTTGTCGTTTCTGCGTTCATTTGTTATGCGACCATTTTCTCGATGGTATCAGTTTTTGAAAATCGATACAACATACTTCCTATCAACAATTATGCTATCAAAACTCGCCGGACAAAGTTTATCTACTACAGTTTTCGTTTTATTATGTTTACCATTACGGTAGCAATGCTTGGAATCGGATTTCCAGACCAAGAAAAAGTCGTTCTTGATCTTTTAGAACAGCTTTCATGTCCTTCTGAAGAATTTTTTCACAATGATATATTTGTGATAACTCATGATCCGCCATGAAGAGAATATACAATGGCTCTGGTCCTGATAACCTTAATCGGGGAAGCTTTACAACTGTTTTTTTTCTGTGGTGCTTGTATGTATCATCTTTTTTTCATGGCTAAATTCACGATTTCACTGAAAACTCATCAACTCCAGATTCGATATTTCTACATGGTTTTGATTCAAATATCAGTTCCAGTTACTTTTTTATTGATTCCATTTGCTTATTTTTGTTTCTCGGTTTTCACAGGTTACTATAATCAATCCATAAACAATGCTTTCATTTTGTTCCTACCTCTCCATGGGTTTTCTAGAACTACTGTAATGTTGATAATCCATAAGCCCTACAGATCTTTCATCTTTTCGTTAATTTCTCGTAATTCTAAGAATTCTATACATCGAGACAGTATTTTTACGACTAGGAAATCGTTATTATTCACTACTTCTTCCAAAAAGTTGGTTTCAAAAACTAAGACCCCATTACCGACATATTTTTAAAATGAACTTCATTGAATATTTCTTTGCCAAAAACAGAAATCAACTTTATTAATTTCAATAAAATCAAAGAATTCAACAAATCACCATTCGTTGAAAGTGTTACTTGGTTGCCAGGAGAACACTTGCCTCTGCTGAGTTCTCATTTTATAATCATCCATGTTCTGTGGAGCCAATGCAGAGTGTCCAACTACTTTGCTCGATTCACCTCGACCCCAAAGGTTTTGGTAACGAGGTGGGAGGAAGGTTTTTTTGATGTTGCGAATTTGTTCGTCGTTCTGGAAACCTTCAATTTGTTTACGAATAAAAACATATTCTAAACATATACCGGTCAATACAAATATGTACATGTTTTCAGCAGTTTTTGCCCATTTTCGAGAGTCAGGAGGCTTTCAAGTTTCGGATCACTTTAGTAATTTTTGAGAATGTAACACAGGCCTAAATTCAAAAATTTGAATTCAAAATTTTTTTCTGAAAATCCCTAGATATTTGCCGATTTTTTAACTTTTCAGTACAAAACCGGGACAAAAGTGAAAAAACTGGGAATTTCAAAAAGCTTGTGAATGCAAAGTTTTAAATTTAAATATGTTTCACACCCTCCAAAATGTTCAAGGGGATCGGAAACTTGACAGCCAAGCTCCAGAATCCTGAAAAAAGCTAAAATGGTAGAAAATCAACTGAAAAATTTGTAAATCTTATTGACCGGTACTGTAAACTAACTAAATTTAAACTTACAATTGTCCCCATATTTTGATATTGTTGAAGATTTCGTTGCATCAGCCAGTTACCTTGAGCTTCTACCAAGACCGAAACCATGATTGCCAACAGAAGTAAACAGCTTCGGGACATCGTTTTGAGCCTAAAATAGAAGATTGGGAAACATTTGAGCTGATATGGACACAGAAACTTTGAAAAGAATGAAAAGAATCGCGAATAAGTCCATGATTCCTAATAGATTCGGCAGGAAACGCGACGACGCCATCCACTTCCGAAGACTTGTTAGAAGAAGAGCAAAAGAAGAAAAAACCCTGTATACGTCAAGAAAAATGGAATTAGAAACAAGAGTTGACGTTGTGGTTGTCGTCGGGGTTTTTGAAGTGGTTTTGTTCGAAGAGTAGATGAATCCGGGGGTGTTAGTGTGTTAGTACAATGGAGAAAAGAGAACAAGGATGGATTATTTCAATTCGATGGAATTGTTTTTTTTTCTGGAAGCAAAAAGGAGAATGGGAAAATGGTGCTTTCATTTTTCTTGGCGAGAGAAGAAACATCAAGAAGAATCTCCTGGGAGTTATATCAAAGGATGAGTGATGATCGTGTTAGCACCCTGGCAAAAAAGAGCAAAAACATGAAAATCAAGAAATTCCAAGATATAGATCTCCCAGTAAGGGGCTGCATTTTCAGAAAACAAACCTGGAGTCCAGATGTTTTCCACTTCCAGCTCCGCCCGATATTTCTCAGATATGATTTTCGCTAAAATTTGAACCATTAAATACTAGTTTGAAAAATTATTGTTTCATTAGACACTGAAATTTGTATTTCTCATCTCAAATACCGTAAACACTCTGATAGAGCGTCATCCAAACCGTCAACTTGGTGTCCATATATCTCGGTTCCTGTTGAAGATATAAAGATTTTGTCATAAAGATTTTGTCCGGGATAAAAAAGATTTTGTCATCATAAAGATTTTGTCCGGGATAAATTAGCTCAAACTGGACAGTGTGAGAGCCCTTCTATTACCGATCTTACGGTAATCAACTAAAAGAAATTTTATTATTATTCTAATTGAAAAAAATCAACGGAAGTTACAAGTTTGCGTGCCTGAAGACTGAACATTGAATACAAATTCAAAAGTTTGGAAATTCCAACAAAAAAACACACATTTCGAGAGGGCACTATTGCTATGCAACCGAACGCTTAAAGAGAAAATTGTTCCACAGAAAAGCAAAAAAAAGGAAATAAAACTTTCTCATAGAATTCACAAAGAAAGAAAAAATCTGAATAACAGAATTCCAAAATATAATGTATCCTTGGAACGAATTTTACAAGGGGTATAGAAATAACAATGATATTTCACACGAGGGCTAGAATAATAAAAACGGAAAGCCATTGAAATTTTCGTCATAGTTTTCTGAAGTTGCTCATAACAAAGGTATTCATTTTTGGAACAAAACACGTCGACACACTTTTTTAGAATACTTGGGAATGCTGCCCAACAAACGGAGTATTCGCAGGTTCTACTAAGAAAAAAACAAATGAAATCGGATTTCAGGTGTGAATTATTCAGATTCACTAAAAAAAAAGGCCCGACCACCTTGTGTGACACCAAAACACAATCTGGGAAAGTAAAAAAAATCTCCAAAGTATATGCATTAGAAAAACAGGGATATCAAAATCATATATATTTATTTTCTAGACATTCGAAGAATTCTGTAAGTCTTCTACCCGGAAAAGAGGAAACAATATGTCAAAAACTATTAAATTAGAATCGAGAGCGAGAAGCGGCACCCATTGAAATAAATGAAGATTGGTCCCGTAGAAAAACATTGTTTGCAGAGCAAATTCTCCAAATTTTTGTTAGGAATACTTCATATAACGGTCTATTGAGAAAAATCATCGCAAGTGTACTCATAGTGCCATGGAGAGATGCAATTACAAGTGCCACATAACCGAATCCTGAAATAAATTCAAAAATTGAAACAGTTATACAAGTTACAGAATTTACCATTTCCATCAACATTAAAAATCACAGATATTGCATAAATGAAGATAGGGAAACCCAACATTATTCCATGAACACTAATTTGGCAAAACAGACTGATCAGAAAAGATTTATGCATCGCAATGGTTCTTAATGAAGCTCTAGTTTGCATAACCATTTCTCGAAGTGCAAATAAAGAGGTCCCACCCATAAAACTACATAAAAATGATCCAATAATTACAGAAAATAATGCAGAACCATTAAAAAGATGAATTGGTTTGAGACCAGTTTCTGATGTCTTTGGGAGAGTGAGTGCGGACATACAGAGAATTTCTGGGTACACATCCAGAATCTGTAATTTTGAATTTGTTTTGCACTGGATTTTTACAGAGAGGTTCTTTTTAGAGAATCCCTTGAAGTGTCGTTTGCTGAACTTTCGTATTCTTGGAACACATGCTCAAGTGGGTTGACTAACGAATCTCACTCAAAGTTCTACATGGTTTTGGAACATGAACCCGTATTTTTTATTTATCTCGAATATTCACCAAAATATATTTTCATTAAATTTATCCTTAATTTGTTAGAATTTTTTATGGAAACCATGAAATATTAAACCATAAATCATTCCATTGAACACATTCGCTCACCGGAAATTTTATTTTATGACTTGTCTGATCGAATAGCCCAACTACACTCAAAGCCAATGAAGACACTGTAGCTATCGTCCCAAATATCAGAATCCACCAATTGACAGCTGCTAATTTTGATGCTCTTTTGACCCCTTCTGAACTTAAACTACTATCCACAATCAATTTGAATCGATAATGAAATAATTCCACAATTGACCAACATGTAACAACAATAATGAGAAGGAATACAAATAAAGTGAATCCTCCATTCACATATTTCAAATTATAAATGCCAGTAAACCTGATCACTGGATATGGAAGATATAGAACTGGCTTCATGACTACAGACAGGTGAAATTCAAATATCACATTGCTGAAATACAAAAAATATAAGTAACAGATGTATTGGATTACTGCGTCGACTGAATTTCAATTAAAATACAGCTGTTCTCTGTGTGCTTTATGCTAGGAACTGAATTTGAACATTACTGACATGTATCGAAAAATCAATGAATGTAATTTTAATTGTACGATAGAAATAATTTTTATAGTAAAGCATAACCAACCTGACAGCATGTGTAGCCAAATACCTTTTATACATTTTAAAATTTGACGACTTTTCAGAATACAAAGTATAAAATGCAACAGCATAAATAGGTGCAGCAATCATATGTGCGGTTGTTAAGCTGATACTGTATCCGAGAGGTCCTGGTTTGGAACACATTTCCCTATCATCATACAAAAGTTGACTCCATTCTTGCTTTGATCGAGAGAAAATTGAAACTTCTGGAAAGAACGGCATGAATATGAAATTCTTAAAAATGACTAGTGATTCGAAAGATTCGGAGAGTTTAGAAAGCAGGTGGAGGCGGGGAAGAAGGAATAAGATATCAAAATTTGATTATTTAATTTCGCTTAAATGATTCGAAATTCAATCAAACTGCAAACAAGAAAATACATTTAGGGAATAAGATAAAGAGACAGATCACCAATTAACTGGATTTGTCGGGTTTTTAGACTATTAACAAAGCTATAAAAACAAAGGCATGCATTCTGAATAACGTAAAACCTGTATCAGAAGGGTCCCTTTAAGAAAAGGGTTTAACGTAAAACCTGTATCAGAAGGGTCCCTTTAAGAGAAGGGTTCTTTCTAATGCAGGTGTTAGAATTTCACAGTATACTATATTTTAACTGAACTTTGAAGAGACCTGACGAAAACACAAACTTTATTCTATTCTTTGAATTTTTCGAATGAAAGGTGCTAAATTGATCCTACTGCAAAACCAAATGCTTTCGGAATTATTTGATTTGACGATTCAATGAATTTATTGCATGGATAAGTATAAAAATTGCGTCATTGCTTTATTGATCTCCAACCTTTGGTCTCCAAACTTTTCCCCTATATCTTACATACTTTTGTCATGTCTTCTGTGCATACATGAGGTGATTTGTAAATTTTGAGCTGTTGTTCAAATTGCGACCGGAATATTTCGAAAACTAAAAATATTGCAGCTTGTATTTTAACACCATTGTGTTTCTCGTACTTGTTGTACACAATAAACACCAAATCGCGATCTAATTTATCAAAATTTTAAAAAATTCGGCAAATTTTCAAGACCTCAAAAACTCCCAAATTCGGAAAATAAATCGGAGGGTCCAAAATTTTGGGGTCATTGGGGTATAAAGCAATTTAGGGGTACAAAATCCTCGATTCGGGGTACAAAATACCGGAAAACCGATTTGTTGTACCCTCTGTTGTACCCTCCGAATTATGTCCCCCAAATTTACAAATATCCCTCATGTATGCTTCTGTGTATTTTCAAATAAATTAGCGTTCACTTGTCAGTGGTATTTTACCCTTCAATGAAATAAAGCCTAGGGTCCTCAGGTGCATCGAGGATACATTGGTTCTAACCTTTTTTGATGTACTCCCTGGTTTTCGCAGATTTGTTTTTTTCTCGAATATTATGTTTTGCATCATTCTCCCAATAAATCTGAGCAAACTTTATTTACTTATAAAATTTCCATCAGACTTCCCATTCCGTAAAAATCGCCTGATCTCTTGTTAAATTGATCTCATTTATTTTATCGTCACTTGTTCCAGTAATCACAAGACACCATGATCATTCATTTGACCCTCTGACTAATGACATTCTAAAAAAGCAGCCGTTTCTGAAGTCTGCTGATCATAAAACTAATCGAAATTAACTTTCGGCACATTATCAGCGCTCCGGTTTTATCCTTCAAAATTACTTTTTCTAATTTCTGCTTGACCTAAAAATATTTCCGTCTAAAAACGTTGAATTTCAGAATGGCTCATGATCATAACTTGGTCGTTTTTGCACAGACTTGGCATATTTCCTTCGGAATACTCGGCACAATTCTGAATGGATCTCTCGTTTTTCTGGCAGTTTTTAAATCTCCAAAAGCTATCCAGTTGTATTCAAAACTCATTATCAATTTCGCTTTGACAGATTTGTTTGCTTGTTTGTTAGACATGTTCATTGAAATTAGGTACCGGTTGTTACAAAAATAAACCAACTGACAATCTCCTACCCAGATTGCTCCCTTCTCCGAACGAAGCTACAATGACATACATTTTGAATGGATTCTGTACATATTTTGGATTGAACACATGTACAATAGGGTAACTTTAACAACAACAACAACAGTGATTTGAATTTCTTCGGTTAACTTTTTTCAGATTGAGTCTCTTCATTCATACACTGACGCATTCTTTATGGTCCCTTTTAATTTCGTTTGGTTACCGGTATTTCATTCTTTTCCATACATCTCCAAAACTCAAACATGTATTGCTGACAATATTGATTTTCTACATACCATCTTTCATTCAAGCCGTAAGTATCCACACTTCAATATACTATCACAAATGATATTTTCAGATGACGTATTGGACAAATTTTGTAGACCGTGCCACAATTCTTCCAATTGCAAAACGAGTTTATCCGGAATATAACTTCAGCGAGGAACCAGGTCTTTTGACAGGAATAACAAACCTGTTCTCCGTTTCTGCAATGTACGCAATTCTTCATATGACTCTTCCTGTGACTCCCGTATACATATCAATATTCATTCTTCGAAGGAAAATCATAAAAATGTTGATGAGGAGTCGAAATGTGATGTCAAAGGAAACAAAAGCTGTTCATGCTCAATTACTGAAAGTAGATGAATGCATCCGGGAATAAAATAAAAGAGATTTGAATTTTCAGGCCCTCACATTTCAAGCATTGATTCCTGTAGCTGCATGGACTGCGGTTTATACAGTACTGGCCAAAAAGGTATTCGCAAATAGTTTTTCGAGCATAACTTTTCTGAAACTTCCCGGATCAATCTGATATTTTAAGACAAAGTTTAAAACGGTAAAAGAAACTGATTCAACAACAAGAATAGTCAAAATTTCAAAAAATGGAAAAAAAATCGAAAAATTCATGAAAATTGCAAAAACCCGGTAAATGGAACTTTGACTTCTGAGATCTAGGATAGACCGGTAAACGAAAAATAACAATAGAAAATGAATAAAATAGCTTTAGTACTTCGTTGGGAAGCCTTTGGCGTCGATTACCGCCTGACATCTTCTTGGCATCGAGTCGAGAAAAGTGTCGATGACAGACATCGGGATGGCCTGCCAGACATCTTGGAGTTGGTCGAACTTCTGGTTGGCATTCGAGGCACGGATCCTCTAAGCTGTCTCTCGACATGCTCCCAGAGGTGTTCGATCGGATTCAAGTCCGGAGATTGACTTGGCCAGTACAGAAGATCCACGTGGCGGCGTCGGAACCACTCCTTGATGTGCTTCGAGGTGTGCTTCGGGTCGTTATTCTGTTGGAAAACGAACGCCCGGCCCACAGTAGACCGTGCCCAGGGTCTCATTGTGTTCTCCAAGATGTCTTCATACACAAAGCGATCCATGATGCCCGTAATTCTTCTCAGCGGGCCGATTGAAGTCCCAGAGAAGCAGCCCCAGACCATCACCGATCCACCTCCATGCTTGACGGTTTGGAGCTGGTAGCTGGGATCGAACCGACATCCAACCGGACGGCGAATCCACTTGATACCGTCAGTACCGAACAGATTGAACTAGGATTCGTCGCTGAACACGTGATTAGCCCAATCCTGACGTCCCCAGTGGAGATGAGCTCTGGCCCATGCTACGCGGGCGATTCTGTTCTTCTTGCTGATCGATGGTTTCTTAGCTGGCCGTCGTCCATGGAGTCCAGCATCTTGAAGACGTCTTCTGACGGTTCTCAGGGATGGTGTGACTTCATTTGGAGTCTTCACGACCATCTGAATGTCCGTAGAACTCCTCTGGGGATCCTCTCTTGAAGCTCGGACGATGTTCCGATCCATGTTCTTCGACGTGATACGCGGTCTTCCAGGCGATTTTCGCTCCACCAAGGCTCCCTAAACATTTTTTCCATAACTATACTATTTTCGAATATTACCTCATCCCGAAACTGCTTCAAGATCTTCTCGATGGCACGTTTAGTAACATTGAACTGCTGCGCCAAGAGGTCCTTGGAACATCCACTTCTGAAGCCGATGACGATGGCTTTACGGATGTCCTGAGAGATGTTTTTTTTTTCCGAGGGGTCTGGCCATGTCTGTAAACAGTTTTAAATACATAGGAGCCAAAACCAACATTCTTAGAAACCATAATATCCAAAAATATAAAAATATGAAAAAAGTGAAAAAACGAAAAAATTGAAAAAATTGAAAAAAAACAAAAAATTTCTGAAAATGATGCAATTTCCTTGTACGCAATTTGTCGTCACCGTGTACGACATGCACAGTAAAATTTTCAGATCGATCCCTTAAGTTTCAGCAAAGTTACTCTCAAAAAATCGTTTGCGAATACCTTTTTGGCCAGTACTGTATCTACATTGCTAGTTAGTTTCAAAAACCTGTATGATAAAACAACGTTTTGATGAAGTTTCTCAAGATTAGTATACTGTAAAACCTGCAATTTAAGGGCCAATTATATTTAATTTGAGCCAATTTTTCTCAATTTGTGTCAAAGATTTTTAAAAGTTGACCGCTGATAAATTGTTTGTCATAATATCACCAACGTTTTATCAGTTGACACATTTTTGATATCTCGGATAGGAGCCAAGAAAAATTAGCTCAAACTTAGCATTAGGGGCCTTTTTATTACATGTTTTACAGTATACGCATTACAACTTCAATGTTACAGTGCAATTCGGCTTGCTCCGTGGAAAAGTATTCGAATATCTCATATTCTCCACAGTGATCTTCATGCCCGTGATTTCCCCGATCACTTATTTGATTTATGTCAGACCGTATAGACTATGTTTGCTCAGGTAGACAGCATACCTTTCCGACTAACTGTTTTACTAAAAATTCAGAACGTTCTGTGGAAAGTGTGCTGGGAGTGCGGTTGAAGACAAGAACCGAACAAGGTTCTATACTCAGTACGATTACTCAACGACCAGACAATAACAATACCAGGTGAAAGAGGCCTCCCTGAAGATTTAAAGATTTTTGTTCTCAATTTCTTTTTCATATTAAAATTGTTTATTGTGTTCCATTCAGTAAATGTTTTGGATAAATGCTAAAAGAATCTGGATAAACAGACCAATTACAGGAAAATATCGAAAACAATACAAAACTGTATAACAAAGCGGTTCCAAGAGCCTGAAAGGTTCATCATTGTATTAAAAATATTACCAGAGTTGGAGTTTTCTGATCAGTTAAATATGCTTTTATTAACTATACGAGAGTTTGTTCAGATTCCCAGCAAAACGTTTAAAAACTATAATTATTGTTTTTCCTACAAACCACGATTATCGTTAGATGTCTTGAGTTCTCTTTTAGGCATTTCGAATCCCTCAATTATTTCCCAAAAGTGGCGGATTAGTGGTCAACATCAAAAAGAGAATTTTCGTTAGGTTCTTCCAATTCTGAGTGGCACGTTTTATCAAACATAAAAATAGAACTACGAAGATAATTCTGTTCCGCAATTCTTTTTGGCAACTTCTCTGAAGCTGATCTAATAAACTTCTGGAAACCGGGCAAGGGATGGAGGTGGTCTAAGTTATTCATTTACGAAGAAAGCAAAAACCACGTGCTTTTTTGAAACTATTTTTTTATTGCTCACCATTGATAGCTACTCTTATCCTAGCCACATTTTCTTCGTGATCTCTCGGTCCCTTGACAGAAGTCAAATTAAGGTGGAAACTGGTACTTAGATGTAGACATATGATTAGGTCCCTGATATATATTCATATTTGAGTGTCGTTAATTCGTGCGTTTTATTAACCTAAGATTCCTTCGACTGATCTTTTCTGATTCTTTCATTTTTAGAATGTCTGTGGACATTGAATTGACCACCACCTTCAGAATTTTGCATGCCTTTTTCGGAGGTGCCGGAACTATTCTGAACTTGATTCTTTTGTTGTTGGCATTATTTCAATCTCCTAAAGTTATCCGATTGTATGCAACTTTGATTATCAATTTTGCTATCACAGATTTATTGGCTTGTCTTTTGGATACTTTCATCGAAATCAGGTGAGGCAAAAAATGAGAGAACACCTTTTTATTTTTAATTTTCCAGAGTTCTCCCTTATCCAAATGAAGATTCAATGGCCCATGTTATGAATGGTTCCTGCAAATATTTTGGTCTGACAACATGTGCTGTTGGGTACGAACCTATAAAATTTCTTGTTAACTTAAACCCTTCATTTTTAGATTCAGCTTATATCTTCACACTCTTACTCATTCAATCTGGTCATTGCTCATTTCATTCGGTTATCGATATCTGATTTTGTTCAAGATTAGTCTAAAACGTAAAACTATAATCCTGGTGATTTTGGCATTTTACTTCCCTTCTTTCTTGCAAGGAGTGCGTTTTTAGTACATTTAGTGATTGTATATAAGACTATTCAGGTCACTTATTGGAGCAATTTCGTGGAACGCTATGAGATATTGCCCATAGTTCGAAGAGTTCATCCAGACTACGACTTTAGTGAACATATAGGTCTTTTGACTGGAATAACTGACTTGTATTCTCCTTCCGTAGTATATGGAATGCTTCATACTACACTTCAAGTAACACCAGTTTACATTTCAATTTTTATAATTAGATGGAAAACTGTGAAGATATTAACGAAGAACAAAGAATCTATGTCAAAAGAAACTAAAGCACTGCACACTCAACTTTTGAGAGTTTTGACCCTTCAAGCTGTCCTCCCATCTACATCTTTCTTCACAACTTATCTCTTCATGGGACGTAAGTAAAATTTTATTAAAACACACTTGTAATATTCCGGGCCGGGCCGGGCCTGAGGAAATTTTCAAGGCCCAGGCCCGGTATCAAAAATACTGTATTTTTGAGCCAAATTTTGAGCTCTCAATATAATTCTCTCCATTTTTTTTTCTTTTTGTTTTTTTTGGATTGTTTGTCGGTTTGATCTCAAAAGGTCGAAAAAACTCAAAAAAAATTTTTTTGATCGAAAAAAATCACATATGTGTTTTTTGAAAATTTCAAAACTTGTGAAATGACGGGATCGCCGGGCCGGGCCCGGCCTTCGAAATTCGAAAAAAGCCCGACCCAGTCCGGCCCGGCCTGTTACAAATATGATTAAAAACACTTTGAAGTAATTAAATATTTCCAGTGAAATTCGGTCTCCTCAGTGGCCAAATCTATGAACACTTGGTGTTTTCTATTGCCATATTCCTGCCTGTAGTTTCCCCAATAACATATATTGTCTTTATCAAACCGTACCGATTGTTTTTTATAAGGTAGAAAGAACATTCTCGATGGAAAAAGTCTAAATTTTGTTTTCAGAAAATTTTGTAAAAAATGCTGCAAAAGTGTAATTCAAGAAAGAACCCAAACACGGATGTACAGTCAACATGATCAATCGTCGAGCGGGAATCGGAAATAATTTGATTTAAAATGTTTAAAGTGTATTTAAAATAATTTAATCATACATAAATAAAATGTTATCATCAAAGTGTTCATAATTTTAACGATCTGACTGGTAAAGGTTTTCCATCGGGCCCTTGTGGTCCGACTGCGTCATCAGCATGGTAAGGGGTACCGTATACAATCATGTATCTGAAAATGTGTAATTTGAACAATGTAATAATGGACATTTAAAATTGTTGAGTGATTGATTCTATACAAATAATTGATAGTTTTAAAATGAACGTCTGTTCACTATCAGTAAGAACTTGATTTTTGAAACATAACATTTTTCTGAAAGATAATAACAATGTTTCAATTTTTACAAAAGGAAAACGAGACATTCAAAAAAAGCTGACTCACTTTCCATCAATCTCCAATTTACAGACCAAATCTCCTGAGAAATTGATATTTTGAGCAAAATCCGCATGAGACACAACACTTTCGAACGGGTGTCCAAACATTTTTTCCGTAGCTCTTTGCAATTTATTTGCGATAAGTTGAAGGTTACAAGGATTGAAATTCGGGAGCTCTTTTACTTCTTTATATGTCGATTCGACAACATTATTCAATTCCAAATTACAGCAAACATATCCAGATGGATTATGAAAACAAGTTTGGAGTGGAAGAGTATCTTTCGGAGGATAGGAATACTTTACATTCGGTTTGCTGGAGTACTTCGTTTGTTTTTCTCCTTCTCGAATCTTCAGAATTTTAATGATAGTTTAAATTGCTTTGAAATTCAAAACTCACATTAGAACTGTACTCGGACTTCTCTTCTTCTTCCCTGTGACCATCTCCGTCTCCGTGCTCTCCGGATCCTGTTCTATAGGCGTCTTTGTTTTCTAATTTCTGAATTTTTGAAATTTGATCATTTTCAAAGAAAATACAATAACCTTTCCCCTGTAAACTGGAATCCTCATAAGTTTGTTCTGCTCTGCCCTCTTCGCGAAATCAATTATTGTGGGTTGGGATACGGTAGTGGGTTTCTGTGTAGTACGGTCCTCATCATCGTAGTAATCGCCATCTCCATCTTCTGTTATATCATCGATTTGTGCTCCTTCGCCTTCTGGAGAGTCTTCATCACGGTCACTATCGTCTTCTTCACTGCTGTCTTTTGTTCTAGTCTTTTGTTTTCTTCCCTTTTTCCTTCCACGGCCCCTATTTGATGACTTTGAACATACTGAAATCTCAGACCTTAGAAAAAGTAACTTCATTCAAAAACACTCACAATCACAAGCAACTTCCTTCTCTTCACTATCTTCCTCTTCTGACATTTCCCTACATAATCTACACATTTTCGAATTTGCTCTTCCCTTCTTCTTCTTCCCTTTCCGCCTGTTATTCCGATTTCTCCCACTATTTTTTGGACTTTGATATTTTCCCTGAAATTCTTTTAAAACTCGCTATTACCAAATCCCATTTTCTACCTACTCACAACATTTCTATCCGTATAATAATTAGTTTCTATAGCTTGATTCGGAGGACTAACTTGTAGTTGTGGAGGACGTCGTTGCGGAGGTTGATTATAGTTTGTATTCACTGATTGCTGCTGATACTGTGCAGGCTGTCCTGTAGCATTTTGTTGTAAATTTTGGTGATAAAGGTTTGGAAGGGGATTCCGAGGTGGAGGCGCTGGTGGCGGATAAGCACTGTAGTTCTGCTTGGAGTTCTGTGCTAAAATTGGTTGGTTGGAATATGGGTTTGCATTGTAGATTTGGGCTGGATTCAATATTGGAACAACTTGACGCTCCACTACGTGCCGTTGTGGAGGTGGAAGCCTTGGAGCATTGGAATCAACAGGTTGGATAAGAGTATGGTGTCGAGGTGGTGGGTTGTGAGACTGAAACAATCAACCATTGCATTTTAAAAAAGTTTGATAGATGGTTTAGATGAACTTTCAGAACATCGCACAAAAAATTCAAGTGATTAGTTCAACAATCATGAAATAAAAATTACCGCGTTTGGTATCCATCTCTGAGGAAGAGGTAGTGGTTGTAAAAAGGTCTTCCCACCGGAATGAGCAGCATGAATCGTTCTGTTTTGATGAGTTGTAGAAGCTCTTTTCACACGCTTCCCCGTTGGCTCATTCATCAAAATAAACTCCCACATTGGGACTATTTTTATTTGTCCGCGGATTTGAAATTTCGGATCTTTGATTCGCTTGCAAGAATTATTAGGTACTCCATATCGGTTATCTAAAGAGATTGTATGTTTGTTGTTTGTACAAATCACACAATTTTAACATTTTAAGTGACACCGTAAATTCTGTGATAGAAGAATCAGCACTTCTATTATTCCAAGGTACCTCCGGAGGGCCCTTCTATAACAGGACCAATTAAATTAGAAAGGGGCCTTCTAAACTGAGCAATTTTTGAGCAAAAAAGGTGTTTCAACAACTTTCTATAAAACTTTCGAAATTATGAAATATTTTTCACTGAAAACGTACAGAATTTTTGAATGTCAAACAATATATTTTAGGGGTTTTTTTTCTGTTTTTTCTGTTGTTTCATAAAATCCGTATTAGATAAGGCCATTTAAAGGGGGCATCCGCTAATTCCAAATTTTTTGAGATTTTTATGTC